GAGGATATTGGACCATAACACCATAACACTTCTCTTTATCCTTTCCTCTATCAGTCCTATTTGCTCTTGCTCTAACTCTCTGTAACCCCTTGCATGCTAGTGGCTTCCCGCCTTGCTTGGGGTAAAACACTATATATATAAAAAAAAAAAAAAAAAAAAAAAAAAAATCCATTATATTCACTTATGCACAACTACTCTTGAGAAACGTAATCCACCTCTTCCTCACCCCCAGATACTTTATTTCTCTTTATAACAAAAGATCAACTTCACTGGTGTGTGTGGAAACTATAGGGAAGAATATCATTTCTCTATTTCACTTTCTGGGGAAGAATACAACAGTTGCTATTAGCATATTCTCTGTATTACTGACACATATATCACAATTTATTTTTTGGGCTGAGTGTGTCATTAATAGAGAGCGTGCTACTATCTGAGCATGTGTCATTAATAGAGAGTGTGCTACTATTTGAGCATGTGTCATTAACAATCAGAAAATTTACAACACTACCATATTTGGATAAAATGGATTGTAATGTGATGAAAATAATTATTAGTCTCATGATATGGAAAATATAAATAAAAGTTTCTGTTTCAAATCTAATCTCGTAATCTTCATGGAGTTGACTATTACACTGTAGGCAACCACATGATTATACTGTTGCTATAGGTGCGTCATTATTTCATTATCATATTACAGGATGCTTCAGTTTTCAGATTTTTTTTTAATTTTAAAATACAGGCAACTTAATATGTATATAGCATCTATAAAATGGGGCAACTTGAGAATGGAACCCAAACATAAACACAATATCTCTTTACATTTCATAACACAGTTTACACATATATCCTGAAATTAGTTTTATATAAAATTTAATAAGTTTTGTGTACATACAAATACAGGTAATGACACTATCATGTAATGCTCACACGGATTTTTAAGTGGTGAAATTAAAATTTCCTGTAAAAATGTTTTGTACTTTCTACACACACACACATATATATATATATATATATATATATATATATATATATATATATAACATGATCACTACTCACAAAAAATATATAAATGCAGGGCTTTTGAACTTTTGAATAATAACTTTACTGAGCATGAAACACACCTGGTAAGTAATCTAAAAATGAAGCTGTTGTTGTGACAATCACTAACAAAAAACTTGAGGCAACATAGGCTACATAGCTGGGCTGGGGAACCCCCAACCAGGGCAGATGAGGTTCTTTACAACAGGTGCATATCACCTAGAAACCTTCCAAGAAATTTTCCATTTTTGGAAAGTCTTGTCAGCACCTGAAAAACTTTTGGATATTGGAATTTTGGATAAAGGATCAGTTATGTACCATGCGTGATACACACTTAGGCAATCATGTATCTTTTGATACATGACTGATGAGGCAGATTTTTTCCTGCAGTAGGTTGCCATTTCTTTCTGCGATAGACCAGTTGCCATCCAAGGCCATAGAACCCGGTCTGTCCTGTTATTTTACTCATAGCTAGGGGAGAAGAAGAGGATTCATACCTTTCCCAAGGGTATTAGCATGAAAGTGAATGTAATGATTTCGACTGGAATTCGAACTCGGCTCTCCGATTCCTCAATCCGAGCCACTATACATTACTTCACTGTGCCTACTCAGTCTGTATTGATGTGCACCATAAATCAAAATTTAAATCACCTAATTTAGATAAAATGGATTGTAATTTAATGAAAATAATTATTATTCTCATGATAAGGAAAATGTAAATAAAAGTTTCCGTTTCAAATCTAATCTTTACTGAGTAGACATTACACTATGGGCATCTACATGATTATAATGTTGTTATCGGTGTGTAATTATTTAATTATCATATTGATGTGCACTGTAAATAGAAAGTTTGCTACACATTGAGAGTGCGTCATTAATAATGAAAATACAGTGAAATTAGTTAGCACCGATATTTACAAAGCTAGTCCTGATACTACAAAAAAGTTATAGGTGTTAAGCTAAACACCTACCAATATAGCTTGACACCTACTGGTGGGTGATAGCATCCAGGTTGCTGAACACGGATAGAGATTGTTTATTTTTAACTACTTTCACTTTCATTATCTTAATTATGTTAATGGCTTGCTATTCTTGTTATAATATTGCTATAGTTTCCATTGGATTTTTATGATTGTTATCAGAGGATACGATATGCAAATCTATATGTTAGACTAATAATGGATAATCTTTGTTAATTAGAATTATTGATTTGAAGAAGTCCTTTTCTAAGGACGAAATGTGTTATTAGGATATTTTTTCCATTTTGTCATTTGATTACACATGATTTATTATTATTATTACTATTCTTTTGGTAATAACTTCCTGTGTGCACGTAAGTGTTACACTTTCAGATAGGATATTATTCTGCTTGCATGAAATACTGCTGTGTAGAAAGACTACCGACATTTGCTACACTAAGGTGTTAGACATGGACTCTTCCATTGGCTATCAAAGTAGTCGCAAACGAGACGCAAAGAGTCGCAAGGTGTGTCAAACTATGATATTCACTAGTATTGTAATATTAATCCACGTGATTAAACAGTCCTTTCACTAATCTTGTGTTCCAGTGTTTTCCTTTTGGAATATTAATCCTAACGAGTTGATACGGGCATTATAACAAATATATATGACTCACTTTTGTTTCAAAGAAGCAGACAAAAACATGACAACAGAAATGTAAGGATTGTTTCATTCACTTTCTCCCCTCCTCTCATTATACTTGCTATCTTTCTCCCCTCCTCTCATTATACGTGCTATCTTTCTCTTTCTCCCCTCCTCTCATTATACGTGCTATCTTTCTCTTTCTCACCTCCTCTCATTATACTTGCTATCTTTCTCTTTCTCACCTCCACTCCTTATACTTGCTATCTTTCTCTTTCACACCTCCTCTCATTATACGTGCTATCTTTCTCTTTCTCACCTCCTCTCATTATACTTTCTATCTTTCTTTTCCTCTCATTATAATCTCCTTTCTCTTTCTCACCTCCATTATATACGCTATCTTTCTCTTTCTCACCTCCACTCCTTATACGTGCTATCTTTCTCTTTCTCACCTCCACTCCTTATACGTGCTATCTTTCTCTTTCACACCTCCTCTCATTATACTTGCTATCTTTCTCTCTCTTATTCACTTTTCCTCTCTTATTGTATTTGCTTTCTCTCTCTTATTCACTTTCTTTCCCTCATTATATCTGCTATCTTTCTCTCTTCTCTTTGATCAAACCTTGGTCATTTGCACAATTTGTGGTAGATCAACTTTCTTACCTAGTAATATATATATATATATATATATATATATATATATATATATATATATATATATATGATAAAATTATTTGGTAACCTGTATGGATAATTCAAAGAGGATATAGATGCAGAGAGAGGTCAATGTAAGAACAGAGTAAATGATAATTAAGAAAGCAGAGATTTTAGAAGCACATGGTAATATTTTTATTTCGTGAAAGCAATATTTTGGTTTCGCTTCACCAGACCAAATGGTTTCAACATATGTATTGTTAATACGTTATTTTTATTTTGTCAGACTTAGTTCATTTCATTATATATATATATATATATTATTGTGTGAAAAGTGTATATAAATATAAATAAATATATATATGTATAATTATTTATATATTATATGCGTGGTACTTATTAGAAAGCGCTCAATATCAGAGATAGAGCTAAAGCGTGAAACCCAGGGTCACAAACTCACATCTATCCAACCAAATATATATATATATATATATATATATATTATATATACACACACACACACACACATAGGGTGCGATGAGTAAATTGTCGCCATTTTATATTTTTCATTTTCTGCATGTGCATTGTTTGTTTATGATTTAGTCAACTGCACATTATAGTCAGGTCAGTTGGGTACTGTCTGTGAGAAAAAGAGCACCATGATGCAATTCCCTCTGGCAGAAATGGCAAGCTCCACTGCTTGGCATTCACTCTGGAAGCTCCAATGCATACATTTTAGAGTATTTGGGAGCAGAGGATTCAGAAAAAGTTGGATGAATCTAATGATAATTATGAAGGTATGCCAGCTCAGAAAACTCACTCTGATCATTCTGTTAAGAAAAGAACTCCTAAATTTGTTGGTGAGGGCCTCAGATTCAATATGGAAGAGGTAGTACTGCCCTGGGTCAAGAGGGTGGCTGCTGGAAGACCCTATATCTGGCAACAGGACCCTGCACCATGCCACACATGCAGGAGGACACAATCATGTCTGTTAGACAATTTCTGCAACCAGATCACCCCTTACATCTGGCAACCAAGCTCCCCAGGCTGCAACCCCCCCTTGATTATTATGTGTGGGGCACAGTTGAACAAGAGACCAACAAAACTCCAAAGCTGAACTGAAGGCAAGGTTTATAGTAGCATTCACCATCTTAAACAAGAAGACCATGCAGAAGAGTTGCAGGTGATTCCAAAGTCATCTAAAAGCTGTGGCTGAAACCAATGGTGATTTTATTGAGTAAATTTACTCTTTAGTATTTCAAGATATTTTTGTGTAATTTTGGTAAATGTATCTACTAAAATGAGAGGAATGTGTTGTTTTCATTTTTGCATAATTTACATGAAATCTATCCATTGCACCCTCTGTCTCTCTCTCTCTATATATATATATATATATATATATATATATATATATATATATATATGCGCGTGTGTCTGTCTGTCTGTTTTTGTCTTCATTTTCTCCCAAAACTAAAAACTAAAGCTGCTATATGAAGCTTAGAATGGCACATGATGTAACATAAGACATTTGTTGTCTGTTATATTTAACAATGTTTGAATAATGATCTGCTGCCTATTAATATATATATATATATATATATATATATATATATATATATATATATATATATATATATATTTTTCTGAGCCAACTTGTTGCATTAATTTATTACATGACTTTGATTCTGTAGGAGAGCTTCTGTGTCATGTTTAATCATTTGGTTTGCATGGTGAAATGCCAATTACTTGCACAATTCTTGGTAGATCATCTTTCTTGCCCAAACTTATCTATTTTTACATCTGAATTAGTTTGCTACATTCACTTCCCATTATTATTATTGGTAGTAAAAGTGATTTTTTTTCAGTGTCCAGTCTTTCTCTTAATAAAATTTACTGCAACAAAATTGTACTGAGTTGATATAAGTAGGGGTTTAATTTCACTTTTGATATGTCCTCTTTGCAACCATTGTCACATCTGCAATTCCTTTTTATCATTTGAAATATCTGTACAACTTCCTTTTTTTTGTTGCAGGGAAGGCTTCTAACTTTTCTGACCATACATTTCTCTTCTCATCATGGCTTGCTGCTACTTTTGTTTGTCATAATCCATCTTACAGTAATTTGCTTTGTGTAATTCACAAAAGCTTTGATAGCTAAGCCTACACAATCCTTGTTATATTAATGAGCCTTTTTCTTCCATCTTTTCTTTTCCCAGGTATGCCTCTTTATACACACTTCTTAACTTCATTTGCTGCATTGATTTATATCTATCACTGCAGTGGCCATATTTGCTTGTCTATTCTGCCCTTAATATAGTAGGGTTCAAATAAATTCATTTATTGTATTTGATTTTGATATGGTTGGTACTTTGCTCCTTATCACTGCAGTGGACATATTTGCTAGTCTGCTGTATCATGTCTAACTTACCTTTAATATAGTTTTTTCAGTACTCTTGTTCTGGACTGCTGTTAATAGGAATTTAGTTTCTCTTTTCAGATGTCCTCTGCCCAAGTATGTTCATATTTTCTCTCTTGCCTTCTCTTCTGGTGTTCTCTTAAAAATTTCTTATTTTTCTTTCCATTTTATGTTCATCATTTTCTTATTCTCTTGTCACAACTTATTTTTCATTTTTTAAAAAACCATTTCAAGGCAATAAGCCCCTAAAATGCAAGTGGTTATAGAATATGAGAAAAAAACACTATTAAGGAGAGAGAATGATAAAAGAAAATAATTAAGAAAACAGAATATAACAATTAACATTGCATTTATATTTTTGAAAATCAAAGTTGCCGGGAAAACAAGAAGCCGGAAAAGAGTTCCACAAGCGAGAAGTGCGATAGAAGAAACTGTTAGCATAGAACTTATGGTTACATTTAGCCATTTCAACTGCCAGAGAAATTTATTTTTATTTTCCTAGACTGATTCTGTTTATTGCATTGTTAAAAACCATGGATAAATTAACCCATAAGAGGCTCCATTAAACTAGTGCTACATAATCAAAAACAAAGAAATGTACCAAATAGAAGGTATCACATCACTTGAAGACGTTCAACAGCAGCAACAACAAAAATGGATAGCATATGTAAGTCAAAGAGAAAATAATGACATAATTAGCATGTTGACTTCACTTATGAACTTAAAATAAAAGCATGGGAAGGAAACCCGCATCAATAATAGCAGAACTGGTGAAAGGGTTTCGTGACCCCACTCGCTTCCGAATTTATGACACCCGTCGAATCTATGATACACATGGACTATATCGCAATTTTCATAAGGTAGTATTCATATAAAATACTAATTTTATTGTAACCTGATTATGTACAATAATGGATCATATGCATTACAGGTGAACAATTTAACAAGAAAAATTGAAAATAATTACAATGGATCTAAATACAAATTAGAGACATGTCATAATAAATCATTCCATCTTAAACAAAGACCCCTCCACTTTACTACATCTCAATTTTCATAAGGTAGTATTCATATAAAAAAATAAATTATATTCTAACCTAATTATGCACAATAATGGATCATATGCAATATAGATTAACAATTCAACTAGAAAAATTGAAAATAAATACAATATGTCTAAATACAAATTAGAGACATTTCATAATAAATCATACCATCTTAAATAAACCAACAATGTTTTGTGGTAATCACCTTGAGATTTTTCTTGTTAAAAGGTTGAATAATTTTAACACATTCAACATTGTTAGTAATTTTACTAAAAACAGGTATTGTTGGTAATTTTACTATAAACAGGTATTGTTGGTAATTTTTTCCTTATAAAAATGTATTGCTGGTAATTTCACTACAAAAATGTATTTTTACACTTTCCTCACGTTTTGATTTTTTTCCCATAGCTGGGACCCTAACAGATGCTACTATCTTAGATTAGGGTAGATCTAGGAACAACAGAAATTAAGAGGTTCTTCCATGCTCTTCAAAACCCCCAATTTTGCAATCTGAGGCCTTGCTGCCAGATGTAGTTTATCATCATACCCAGGACTACCGAGATGTTTTAACTGAGATCAAAACAAAGATCCTGTTGTTGTTGTTGTTATTATTATTAGTGCAGGCTGTTGTGACTAACAAGGATCATGTAACTGCATCTTATTTGAAAATTATATTAGTTGATTTATTTTAAATAATCAATTGAAGGTGACAAACAATCTGTTAAAAAAATTGGTTGTTTTGAATAATGGAAGGAGAGATTTTCAGGAAATCCTGGAAAGCAACTCTTTTTACTTCAGTGGATTGAAGACAATATTTGTCTCTCCACTTAAACATGAATTTTTGTATATGCACACTTATCTTCCTCAGTCTGTCCATATCTATAATGTATGTGCATTCATGCAAAACTAATATTTAATATCGGTCTCATATATGCACACATATAAATTATATATACTGTATTTGGTGTATAAGATGCCCCAATTTCAGCAGGGCAAATCAAGAAAAAATTAGTAATTAATAAAATTATTAGTAAATGGTACAGCCTAGGCTATATTTATGAGGTACTAGCAGTAGAACCCGGTGTTGCCCAGGAATGTAACAGTAAGAGATAGATCAAGTATCGACCATCATAAAGACTGAAAAATAAAATTGACAAAGATTATTGTTTAAAGTTGACGGACATGCATGTCTTAATTAGTTTTTTTTTTTTTTTTTTTTTTACAAATTGGTCAAACCCAAACTCAAACAAAAACATTGTTTTCAATCGTTATGAGTCTATCGATTGGTGAATAGAATTTTATTATAAACAATTGTCTTGTAAATGGAATTTTTAAAGCATTCTGAATGTAAAAATAAAGAAAAAAGTGTGCAAGACAATGAGAAACACTGCCTGCCAAAAGAAAAAGTGAAGTTTTGTTGAAATCAGTTGAAAAATGTAGGAAATCCGATCCAATATATATAGGAACACACACAGCCTGGATTTTATAAGTATAACTCGATATGAGTTGTCCCCTTTCATTCTCGCGATGACTCTTAATCGTGTTTTCAAATTGATTTCGTGCAAAAATAATTGTGTTTTTCCAATTTTTAGCACTGTCAGGACCACTGCAAGGTAATTTTACGTAGTCCTGTGAAGTTTTGTTGAAATCAGTTGAAAAATGTAGGAAATCCGATCCAATATATAAATGTACAGACACACACACACACAACGTGGGTTTTATAATAAGTATGATTATTTTGGTTAAACAAGCCATGAATACAATTAAACGAAACATAATAGGGAGAAAAAAAAGTCTATAAAAACGTTATTGTATCCTTTAAATGATCTGTACATCCTGCATCTTGTAAACGTCTTAGTGGAATAATTAGGATATAAAAATTCTAAATGTATTTATACCAATGCAACCAGAAGTTATCGCAAGAAAAATATTAATGAAAAAATTTTAGAAATATATAATTTGAATTAATTGCATATAATTTTAGTAAAACAAAGTACTAATATTAAACGTAATGAAATTAATATAATGAATATTATCAATGATAACACTTTTAATCTGCATAATAGCCTTTGAAATAATGACAATAGGTATATGAAAGTGACTCTAAAGTCTAAGCTAATAGGAGTTGCCAGGTAGCTAATTTTGGCAGACTATCACAAATTTTAAACCTACATATAGCATGTAAGATGCGGGGGAATTTTAAGATATTTTTAGTTAAAATAAGAAAAAAAAATGAAGTGTGCCTTATATGCTAGGGTAGTTTAGATGTCAACTCTCTTTACACCAACAGTCCTGTTAACAAATGCTTAAACGTTTTATCAAAAAGCATCTAACACAATAAGAAATAAACTTCTCCCTACTAATAGATAAAATAATAAAAAAAAATCTCGTCTCATCAACAGTAATTTTTATAAACAAAAACGTGGATCACCAATAAGTTCACCTCTTAGCAAGGTTTGACATGCATTTTCTTAGAATTTCTTGAATCTTGTTCATTGCAAAATATTTTACCTAAACATACTTGATATATTGATGATACTCTAAATATACCCACACAAAACTATTTTACCTGACCTTGTACATAAACTAAACAGTCGAACATATGATGGAATTAGGAAATGGGAACAAACAATACTTTACATTTCCTAGATATCATGTTACACTGTATTGATAGTAGCCTCAAACTAAGTGTCTATCACAATCAACTAATAAAAATGATCTTATAAATTTCTATTCTCACCATAACAACAAAATAAAATCCAGAATAATCATTGGATTCTATGTAAGATCACTCAGAATATGTAGCCATCAATATTTATATGAAAAGGGAAAATAGATTGAAAATACTTTTAAGCTCCTCCAATCCAATGCCCGGATTATTTTATATTCAATGCGAAGCAAAAAGCTTATAAAATATTTACATATAGAAAAGTAGAACTTCCTGACAAACCCAACAAATCAAAATATATTGTTCTACCTACCAATTCTATCACAACTACAACTGAAAACAATTTAGTTTAACATAATATTTGTTGCAACATCTCAAAAACTTAATACAAAACAAAATAAGGTAAAACTTGGAGGAGGAATTTACTCTATTACTTATAATAATTGTCACAAGGTATGGATAGGAGAAATAAATGGTAACAGTCTGTTTCATGTTTTAGTTCAATCTTCAGGCCTATCACCATTCAGTGTAGAACTCCATGGCCATACTGCTTATGTTGGTACAGCTGAATGTAACAGACAAAAAACATGACAATTTTTCATCAACTTATCTTGGTTTTGAACCAAATGCTTTACATGAAATGGAAATTCCTGAATGCATGGCCTGTAGCTGAATTTAGAGGCAGACAGGGTTCCCATTTGTCATCACAAAGAAGGAGGCTTAGAAAAAGATCATATCTTACAGATTTTTGTCAAAGTCTGTTGAAAAATATTTTGTGAATTAATCGGACCAGATTTTAAATTGTGAGGACTATCCCTTTTTTTCTCAATTCATCTATTGAATGTTCAGCGCTCATTCATGGGTGTAAAAGATTTGGTTTGAAAACAAGAAAAGTTGATCAAACTACGTAAACGTCATCCATTGTCAACAATACTTGCATAAAATAAAATTTGCAGCTTAAATATATGTTAAGCAATGCGCACACACACACACACACACACAAAAGGGTGGATCAAAAAAGGCCTGAAGCAGGACATGTAGTTGTTAACCGGGTTTTGATCAGAAATATTTATGGTAAAATGTTTAATCAATGTAATTAAAATTCAACACTGAATTATGTGCACAAAGGAGGAGGTTGTTTTGTTGAAAAGTATTTCTCATGTAAAAGAAATTTCTTTTTCAGTATTAGGTTGCAAACTTAATGATGTACCACTCTTTCTCTCTCTTATTAGTTTTACACACACACGTATATATATATATATATATATATATATATATATACACACACACACATATATATATATATATATATATATATATATATATATAGTGTGTGTATATGTATAGTTTGATGATCACAAAAGCGTGAAACCCAGGGTCACAAACTCATATCCATAGAACTTTTTTTATATATATATATATACACGTGCATGCGCTAAATGAAACAGTCTGTTGCCTCTGATTATGTGTGTGTGTGTGTGCTTTTTTTACATTATAATAATAAATATTCATTTTCTTCTTGATCAATTTTTAGTTCTGCATTTTATTGTTGCCTATCCTCACATGTTCTCCTCCTTAATTGTGATGAAGACTCAATCAAGAGCCCTCTGCAGGATCTAGCTTATATTCTGCCCAATAGGGGATCATTTAAGCTAGTATACAATAAATATCATCAATCATATTGTCAATATTATTATCATTTTGTCTTTTTATTATTCAATAAATTTCATTTAAATCTACATGAGATTATGTGTGTGTGTGTGTGTGTGTGTGTGTGTGTGTGCATGTATATATGTATGTAATATATAAGTAATGGACTTATTCATAAGTTTGACTGATTTTATTTCTTAAATGTTATTTTTAGTGGATACCCATATTTGAGTAGAGATCTTATTAAAGAAAAAACGTGCTCTACGGCGAGAGTATGTTTTTGTTTTCTTTAATAAGCTACCTTGAATATTCAGGCCGGTAGATGAAAATAAATAAATACATTGTTTAATAAATAAACGGAACATCTACTGAAATATGGGTATCCACTAAAAATAACGTTAAGTAATATAAATTAAAATAAAATATAAAATATAAAAAAAAGATATTAAAGAAGTGAATATAAGTATATAAAATGTTGTACAATGAGTGCTGGTGGTACTATTTTATACTAAATTCATATATGTTGATTTAAAAATAAAAAAAAATCCCTATTGTCCTCAATATTTAAAATTAAAAAGGCAACTGCCACTGAACAGGCATCCTGTCTGGGTTTCATTGTTGCTGGTGGTTTTTATTGTTCAAAGCCTGTTTTCCGCCCACACAGATTTGTTGAATGCAGTAGCCGGCCACCAAATGTTGCCATAGTTACTTAGAAATTGGAGTTCTAAGAAAGACGCACTCAAGGGTCAAACACACCAAGACATGCACTGAAAAGCAGTATATATATATATATATATATATATATATATATATATATATATATATATATATATATATATATAACCAAACAGATTTCTTGTCATAAGGGATAAGATACATTTTTACACAAGATTTTTCTATCACATTCTGTTATCTATTCACGTATCATCCGTCAACTGTCAGCTTGATGTCAGCTTCTATCTGTTGATATCAGACATTATCTATTTATCCCAGCCAGCTCATATCTGTCTCTAGATATTTGCTTGTTTCTCTACGTCCATTTTCATGTCTATCCCATTCTGTTTTACTTCTATATATCTATATCTTTTATCTTCTTTTTCTATCTCTGTATCTTGATTGCTATCTCTCTCATTTTGTCATTACGTTCATACCTAACTTAGTTTGGTCATATCTATGTTATTCCGTTAGCTATCTCTGTTCATTTCTCTCTCTCTCTGTTCATTACTATCTCTCTCCTTCGGTCCATGTCTCTTTCACTTTCATCATGTCTGTCTCCTTGTCTCTTCATATCTCTCTTTTTCTTTCCCTCTCTCTTGGTTCATGTCTCTCTCCTTCGGTCCATGTCTCCCCCAGTTCCTTGGTTCATATATATATATATATATATATATATATATATATATATATATATATCTTGGTTCATCTCTCTCTCTCTCTCTTTCTATTATACCAAAAACAAATATTAAAATCTTTTTTCAAATTTAAAATTCCCAGTTTGTGAGCAGTCCTGACCTGACATCTTGGCTACAGGCACAGCACCCACCTCCCCACCATAAGGTTGCCTCTCTCTGCCTTTTCTATAAATATTTTCATGTTAATTATTTGGGTGAATTCTTTGCTATGGTACCTAGACTTTATGAATTTAAGCGCTGTACTAGACTGGTGTTGAGATCTCATCAATTTATAGTTGGACTGGCTAGATGTAGAATGTAGCCGTAAGTTCTATGCTAACAGTTTCTTTTCTCGCACTTCTCACTTGTGGAACTCCTTTCCAGCTCCATGCATTCACACAACCTTTAATCTGCAGAAATTTAAATGCAATGTCAATCACTATCTACTGTCTTCCTGATTTTTCAATTGCCACACGATTAATGTTTTTGTTCCTAATGCTTCCACACCTAATAACTTCTGTTTAGTGGTTTACATGGGGTGATACCAATTTCATATATATATATATATATATATATATATATATATATATATGTGTGTATATATATATATATATGTGTGTGTGTATATATATATATATAATAGGTATGTATATATATAAGTGTGTGTGTATATATATATATATAAGTGTATATATGTATATAAATAAGTAAGTGTGTATATATATATATATATATATATAAAGTGTATATATATATAAATAAGTGTATATATATATATATATATAAGTGTATATATGTATATAAATAAATGTATATATATATATATATATATATATATATATATATATATATATATATATATATAAATATATATATATATATATATATATATATATATACACTAAGTGTATATACGTATATAAATAAGTGTATATATATATATATATATATATGAAATCCAGTTGATATATAATCCAAGTGAATCCTACTAATATAAAATAAAATATTAAATATTTCTGATTCACAGAAAGAGCTCAATGTTTTATTCAAACAGAGCATATAAATTATAAACAATAGGAATTAGGATACAGAGTAATCCTAACTCCTATTGTTTATATATATTATAATTATTTTGTTTTTTAAAAATATGATTCAATTACGACATAGAAATTTCTATGTTTCAAAACTGAAAGTAAAATTGTAAATTTAATTATAAAAATTAAACTTAAAATCCTGATCTTCATTCTATTGTCAAGTGATGCTAGGAATAACTTTCTAAGAAATTTATTTAATTTATAAGTGCCGACAATCTTAATATTTTGAGTTGTTATGGTTAATGAAAAATTAATCTATTTTGATTAGGGGTGGTTGGTTTTTAATTTCCCTAGACAACTTATCTATCAAATATCTGTTACTTACAAAGTCAGGTTAAGTTTAGGTGGGGTGGGGGTGCCTGCTAACAAACTTAGCCATCTGTTCTTCAGCATGTCATCTGGGTTTTCAATGACAAAAATTTTTGGCACTTATTTATCTGTTTAATTCATACTTTTATACAGAAAGTTTTTCTAAAAGGTTCATTTAAATATGAGTAAGTCATATTTTTTATATTTAAATTTTATTCCTACACATTTAAAGTACCATCCCTCCTTCTAGTAACTAATAGACTAGTGGTATTTTTATAAATATATTAGAATTTAATTTCGTATTTAAAATTTTTTTATTAATTAATGATCAAGTATAAATGTTTCATTGCTCTTCTTTTTAATATTCTTGGTTTTTTGCCAAAATTAATTATTATTTAAGGAAAATATTTGACAGTGCCTACAAAAAATAGCTGTTTTATTTCTTTGATCTAGTAAATTTTTATTTTTCAGAAACTTAATAATGTATAATTTTTCATGTATGCACAAAAGATATGGGTCATTTAATAATCTACAAGTTCCAGCTTTTCTTATTAATTTCCAATGGCTTCTTTTAAGTGCCAGAAATATTTAGATAGAGACCTTTGATTTTGGTATTTCTTATTAAAGAATGTTTGATGTTGGTTCCACCTTCTTTTGAATTCATTCCTTGTGCATCCAATGTAGATTTTAACCATGTCTGGATCTTCAATAGATGAGATACTGCATTGATAAACTACTGATTCAATACAACATTTGTTATTAAGAGGACAGTTTTGAAGATTTCTACAGTTATAGAATTTTTATTTATTTTCATTTCTTTTTATTTTAGGATCTTAATATTTTAAATTTTAGTATCAGTGTTTATTCAATATATTAGCATTATGTTTCTTAATAATCATTTCGAAGTTTTCAGCACAACTGTAACTTAATTTTAGGGTATTTTTATTAAAAATTATACTATCTCTAGGAAAATGTTTATTAGTTAACGCAAGGAATTTTTGTCCTAACTTATTTCTTACCATTTGGTTGTATGGGGATGTATACCAAATGATTTTTCTATTTTTTCTATGGTGTCCATTTTTATTTTTTATATAATTTAGTTCTGAGCATTTATAGCCACTATTCTTTAGAGCTTTATTATAGAAATTTTCCTGAATTTGTACTAATTCTTTTTTTGATAGATTAAGGTATATGCTTAATTACAGAGGGAGGATGATTAGACTTAGGGTTAGTATTGGGATTTTTGTAAGGGAGGTATATATTATTCATTAAATCTAGTGCTATATCAAGGAAGTTAACTTTTTTCAATTTAGTGTTTACAGTAATTTTCAAGTTTAGGCATTTAAATTCTGTGTGTGATAATTTTCAAATTTTATGAATTTTACAGTTCGTAGAATTTCTTACAATCATAAGGCCATCATCTCTGTACAATCCAGTGTCATTTATACTAATTTCACAATATGCAGTAAGATTATATAATATAAAAAGACCAATAAGGTCAGAAGACTCTGCAGAGTCCAATGATCTCTTTGTTATGTCGAAGTGATCATTACAGTTTTTAATCCATTGCTGGCCATAATGAGTACCAATCATTTCACATTCATGATTATGTTTTTCTCTTAACTCAAAATATTAAGATTGTCTGTGCTTATAAATAAATTTCTTAGAAAGTTATTCATAGCATCATTTGACAATGGAACAAAATTCTAGTTTCAGTTTTGAAACAAAAATTTCTGTGTCATGATAGAGTCATATTTTTAAAAAGAGAAAATAATTATAATATTTTGCTCTACTGTTTGTATACAGCACTGTTTTTTTTAAAATAAAATTGCTAAGAACACTGGATTATAAACCTTACTGTTCTTTTCTTATATATATATATATATATATATATATATATATATAAAATTGTATAATTATTGATATTTCTTAAGTTTCAGATGCATAAAATTTGCAGTGGGTCATAAAAAAGATATAATCTTGAAAGAGAAATAAGATATCAAATTTAAGTGATGTAAAATTTGAACAGAGATTATGAAACAATTAAAAACAAGAAAACACAAAAAAATGTCACAAAAGAGGTTTAAGAAAAAATTCAATGGGTAAAAATCAAGAAAAATGTCTGTAAAAACTTGTGTTGCAAAAGCAAATTCCAGAATATTAAGAACATTGAATAAAGACATGAATGCAATCAAAGTACCACCTTTTATGTTGACATCACAAAGAGAAATGTTGAATGAAGATGTACTGTAGAAGGCCTTATATCTGAACGTCCTCATATCCGAACTTCTCAGTATTGATATTTAGAAGTTGTAGGAATATGCTATATTCTAATATTTTTCTTTTTTTTTGCAGATAATTGTTAGTTACGGGAAATTTCTCAAATTATAAGTTCTCGCACAGAAGAAACTTCAACCATAAAAAAAAAATTGTAGAATCTGAACAAAACACTAAAACTTGCACTTGAAGATGATCGACTGAATACTCTCACTTCAGATGATTTAAATGAATGGATAAACGAAGATGCTAATGAATTACAAAATAATTCAATGGTAGAATCGATTCAAAATGATTTGGATTGTCAAGAAATAGACGAAGAATCAAATTTTTCCGATAATGGTGAAAATATGAAGAATGATGAAGAAGTTTGGGACTCCATAGAGAAAGCTATTGATGAGGTCATCAAATTCATGGAGAAAAAAATCTTTGTTACAAGAGCACAGAATGTAGAAGTGCACGTAATTTGCAGAAATGCCTGACTTAAAAAAAAGAAAGTAGAACAGCAAAAAGTAAGCAAAATGAGAAAAGAAATAAGACAATTGAAAATAAATCTTAATGAGCATTAAACATTGCTAATTAATATTTACTTTACACTATTTACATTATTCAGACTATTGTCCTCATCTTTGTCGTCATATTTATTACATTTCGGCTGTTGTATGTTCCAGCCTTCTTCAGGTGGTTGGAATGTCGAACTGAACCCTTTATTTTGCTAACTGGGGTAGACTGTTCTAGTTCCACATGCCATGTTTAATGGATGTCAGTTATCAGTTATCTCCTGTTAATTCCCTTCTTCAAGTTCTCCACTGCCTTAACCGGGTATTGAACTCTCACTCTTTGGGTCCTGTCACTGGATTTAACCAACGCCTTTATCCACTGTGCCATGTGTCCTTATTTACTTTCATGAGACACTTAATTTTTCACATATAAGTTCTTGTGTTTTGTTAAGTTATAGTTATATTACATATGCAACATTATATCCGACCTGTCCACATACCCGAACTACTCTGAAGTTTGGATATGAAGACTTCTAATGTACATGAAAAACTGAATTTCTTCTTTCACTTCATATTCCATTATGTTGCATAAGAGTAAGTGCTGTTGCCAACACTTCAGTTTGAAACTAGATTGCTACTGAGTAACATGGGTGGTTCTATTATTAGGTAGATCATGTGATCATAAAGGAAGTGAATAAATAGGAAGTAGCGTAATGATTACAGATCACTATTTCTCCTCTATCACTATACGGATCACTTTTCCCTCTTCTTGTCTATCCACTATTGCTATACAGATTACGATTCTCTTCATATTTGGTGATTACTACTTGGACAAGTATTACTAGTGTGGATATTATTGGAAGGTGTTACTGTTAGTACTGGCATCTATGAAGTCTTGAATATAACAAGCATTTTTGTAAGTGATAATGAGCTTTCGCTTGACATAGCAAAAGTGACAATCAAAACAATCCAACATCACAAAACATTAGTAAGAAATATGTTTCACTTGGGCAGCTTCTTCCCAAGAACTGCTACTTTCTGGAATAGACTCTTAGCAAAAAGTAAGGCGTTAATACCATTAGTACGCGGTGGGTTACAGGGTGTGAAAGTGAACGAGAAAACTGAGAAATGGAGAAAAGATGTATGTGATTTAAGAAGAAAGAAGATGGTGATTGACATTGCATTTAAATTTTTTGTATAAATACTTGTACTACTTGCACACCTGAAGATGATCTTGAAAGAAGATCAAAAGTACTTAGGAAATAAAAAATAAAAGAAATTTAAACAGTTAGAGCACATTTCACTCATCCTTTAATATCAATACATAGGTTATTTGTGAGCATGAACGGATTTTGTTAAAAATTAGCAGACATAATGTCTAATTTATTCAATCAAACATGCCTAAAAGAGAATTTGCTGCATATATATATATATATATATATATTGTAATGGTTGTTTATATATCTATTTCTTATTACTGTAAATATTATTTTTGTGAATGCCCATGTTTGAGTAGACGTTCTGTTTTTCCTTTTTGATTTTATATTAAACAGTTTGCATATTTGAGACTTAATAAAGAAAACATGCTCCTAATACACAAGCTGGTAGATGTAATTCATACTGTTTAATATAAAAAAAAAAAAAAATGGACGTCTACTCAAGCATGTTCATCTACAAATATAAAGTTTAGGATAATAAATAATTTTGGATTAAAAATAAAATCCATTAATTCCTTAGAATTACTTATGCATACACACACACACACACATAACATATCCTTTTATTTATTGTACCCCAAGTCATCATGTCCTTTCCTATTAGTCACGTTTCAATCACCCTGAAGGCAGTTGAATCTACAGTGTTCTCACAATTGTGTTGATAGATAATTTAATGCTCTTATTTATTCTTTAATTCTTCCTTTCTTCTTTTCTGGATTTCTTTTTGTTTTTTGTTCATTTATTCATTCATTCTTTGGTAGTTTTTTTCTTTCATACTTTTTACTTAAATGAAAAATATTTTTTCTTAAATTTTTAATTTATTTTTCTCTTTAAAATTTAAAAAAAATTTTTAGATTAATATTTTTTCTCTCTTTAAAATGGATAATTTGTATTTTTTATTCTTATTTTTATTTTTGTTTTCTTTAAAATGACTAAGTTTTAATTTGTAATTTTAATTTCTTCAAAATGTTTTATTTTTAATTTACATTTTTACATTCAGACTTTTTTTCTTTAAAATGATTAATTTTTAAATTGCAGATTTGATTTTAAAATGTTTTATTTTTCATTTTAATTTTTAAATTCCCATTTTTTCTAAAATGATTAATTTTTAAATTGTAATTTTAATTTTTAGGTTAATATTTTTCTAATATATTTTACTACTCTTTAATTTTAATATATACTCATACCCTCCAATTATTTAGCTCAAACAAAAGGGGGTCACTAGCTCATATAACAAAGACAAACCTTAATTTTGTTTGTCCCTGTGTATACACTTCCTAAATACTGTCCAAAAATACCAGGATCACATAAAACAATTTCTGACCAATCAGAAAAACTTTCACATGGGTTTTCACAGCAGCCGTTTCTGAGTCACTGACTCACTATAAAGCCAATGTTTATTTCAGAGACTAACTATTGACAACTACAATGCAATAATTCCTGTTGACATTTCTCCCACAAGTCAAGTCTGTTTGACCACATATGTGTGTTGATTTTTTCTGTTTTCTCTGTCCGTGTGTTACACTCTGAAAAAATTTCAGTCTTCTATGAGTGATATATGATACCTTGAAATCATACTTATTATAAAACCCAGGTTGTGTGTGTGTGTGTCTGTACGTTTATATATTGGATCGGATTTCCTACATTTGTCAACCGATTTCAACAAAACTTCACAGGACTGCGTAAAATTACCTTGCAGTGGTTCTGACAGCACCAAAAATTGGAAAACACAATTGTTTTTGCACAAAATCAATTTGAAAACACGATTAAGAGGCATCGCGAGAATGAAAGGGGGACAACTCATATCGAGTTATACTTATTATCAAACCCAGGTTGTGTGCGTGCGTGCGTGTGTGTGCGTGCGTGCGTGCGTGTTCCTTTATAAGGAATGGGATTTCCTACATTTTTCAACTGATTTCAACAAAACTTCACTTTTTTTCTGGCAGGTAGTGTTTCTTATTGTCTTGCACACTTTTTTCTTTATTTTTACATTCAGAATGCTTTAAAAATTCCATTTACAAGACAATTGTTTATAATAAAATTCTATTCAATCGATAGACTCATAACGATCGAAAACAATGTTTTTGTTTGAGTTTCACCAATTCGTAAAAAAAAATAAAAAAAAAAAATAAAAAAAAACTAATTAAGACATGCGTGTCCGTCAACCTTAAAGAATAATCTTTGTCAATTTTATTTTTCAGTCTTTATGATGGTTGATACTTGATCTATCTCTTACTATTACATACCCCGGGCAACACCGAGCTCTACTGCTAGTGGGCAAATGAATTGAACCTTGTAAGTCACAGTAAATAAAAACTCTTATTTATCTTGACCACATTTTATCTCCATTTTCTTTGTTTTATCCCTTCTAATTTCTTTTTCTTATTAACAGTAAGGCTGCCATTACAATATAATTTGAAATTCTAATTTTTAAATTAACAGTTTTTTTTTTCTCTGTTATGCTAAATTAATTTTTCTTTTAGAAAAAAGTAAAAGAAAATTTGGTTTAGTTTGGTTTACGGCATATCAACACCTCAATGGGCTATTTAATGCTGACAAGACTTATTGCTGGTAATATTTTTTTTTTTTTTTCAAAAATGTATTGCTGGTAATAATGTATTGCTGCCAATAATTTTTTACTTCGAAAATGTATTGTTGGTATATTTTTTCCCCAAAATCTATTGCTAGTAATAATTTTTTCCAAAAATGTATTATTGGTATTAAACCTATTTTTACACTTTCATAGTGTTTTAATCCCAAGTTTGGGGGTTAACTATTTTCCCATAGCTGGGACCCTAACAGGTGCTACCACCCTGGGTCAGGCTGGACCTGGGAACACCATCAATTAAGAGGTGGTTCCATGCTCCTCAAAGCCTTCTGATCATCTTTTGGATGTAGTTTATTATCTTATGTGTCTTATGTGGGAAGCAGATGTAGTTTATCATCATACCCAGGACAGAGAAAAAGAAGAAAAAAAATTTGTTTTCTTTGTTCCTTTTTTTTTTTTTTTATATTCTTCATTCTTGTTCATTCATTCATATTGTTAGGGATGACCTGCTTTATCATTTCTTTATTCTTTTTCTATTTCTATTTAGCAATTTACTCTTTGTTCTCTTTTACTTATTTCGTCCATTTTGCTGCTTCCATTTTTTTTTTCATTCTTTTCTTTCTTTCTCCTGTTTAGCTTTTTATCTTTCTCCTTTCTTTCTTTCTTCTATTTCACTGCTTTCATTTTTATTTCCTTTCTTTTTCTTTTAATTTATTCCATCACTTACTTTTTTCTCTTATTCTTTTTTCTTTCCCTGGTTTCATTCAGCCCTTTTTCTTTTTTTTTTTTCTTTCCTTCATTTTCTTGCTTTCATTTTGTTTTTTTTTCTTCCTTTACTTTTTTCTTTCATTCCTTCTTTATTTTTTCTGATTTATTTTTGATACTTCTTTCTTTCTACTTCCTCTCTTTTCCTTTTTCAAATTTTTCTTCCTTTACTTTTTCCTTATTTATTTTTTTTTTCTTAACTTTTTAACTCTTTTTGCTCAATCAATCAATTCGCTAAAAAGATTAAATACAACAATTTACTTTTTTTTTTTCCAAATAGAAATATTAATTGGCTTTGGTTATTTAATGTTTTTATCATTACAAAACATTGGATGCTTTAGAGAAAACTTATGTGTTTCCACATAGAAATCATTCTGTGATTAGGTCATTTCAGACAAAACACAAATATGCAGCAAGAGTGTTTGGCAGGAACTAGAGCTTTAACAGGTTACACAATCTGTCAATTATACAACATTTTCCCCACATTTCAATGAATATTTCATACAACTGTTAAAATCAATCGACCAAGAATGGAAAAACGGCATTTTTTTTATCAACTTTCTTTTAAGAAAGCCATTTTGTGACTGCAGTTCCCTGAACATTTCACTAACAACATACATGAGCAAAACAATATATTACAATGAATCATTCATACAAAAAGTAAATTAGTAAAGTTAATGATATAAAATGGCAAAATCCCTTTGCTAACAAAATAACAAAAGATGCATTAATCTACAAATCACTCGATGAATGTTATGATCCTTGTTTTTTTAAATTATAAAATGTATTAGGTCTTTCTTAAATATGTGAGTACTTTCAACTGTACATTCAGTCATCTTCAGGCATGGAAATTATTTTGTTTTTGGTAAAATTCAGGTAGCATCCAAGATGAATAATGTGAAGCAAAATTTTTTTTTTTTTTTAAATTTGTTGTTGATAACAGATACAAACTTGTGGAGCATGCAGTTGCAACTTAAAAAAAAAAAACTTAAAAATTCATAGTTTTAAAAAAAAAAAAATTTTGATTCACATTATATTTTTTCAAACTTTAACAGGTTACCCAATCCGTCAATTAATTACACAATACTTTCCCCACATCTCACTGAATATTTCAAATAACTATTGAAATCACTTGACCAATAAAGGAAAATGTCATTTTGTGCCTGCAATTCCCTGAACATTTTACTAACAACATACATGAGCAAAACATACATACATACACACACACACACACACATACATATGCCCCCGAAAAAATAAAGTTCGGTCAAGCACTTTAGAGGAAAAGCGCGAATTTGTAAACAGTGAATGCTACTGTTGATAATGCAAAGCTCTTCTATGAATTGAGCACTCCGAGTCACTGGTGTATTTATTCAAAAATAAATATGTAAAAATTCACCTTCCTCTATGCTGGGAGCTGATAGCTTAGGGGAAAAATCTCTGACTGATTTGGCATCAGTCGGGTTTCAATCTTGTCTTGAGGCAATCAGATGTCTAACCACACTGATGAAAATTAAAATCCCTAGCACTGTTTCATTTTCAAATCGCTTGAAAATGAAACAGTGCTAGAGATTTTAATTTAATTCTATAATTAAATTTAAAGTTTTAGTTTCTGTTTTTTGAAACATGGTAATTCCTGTGTAGTGATGGGACCATATTTGACGATCGCTAAAGCGTGAAACCCAGGGTCACAAACTCACATCTATCCAACCAAATATGTTAGCTCTATCTCTGATATTGAGCGCTTTCTAATAAATACAGATATAATATATAAATAATTATACATACTTATATTTATTTATATTTATATACACTTTTCACACACACACACATATATATATATATATATATATATATATATATATATATATATATATATATATATATATATATATATATATATATATATATACACACAAATAAGTTGTTAATGCAAGGTGCATCCTGAGTGCACAGATATAAAGGTACCTCCACAGAAATACTTTTCTGCGATATTTTAAACTAAAATTTGTTTCAAATCAGATTGACTTTAAATCCACTAATCTTCCTCAAATAAAGTTTTGGAAAAGTATATTTTACTTTTCGAAGATTTCTTTTTTAAGAGAATTACACTGCTGACAGATTTGTAAATATGGCTTAAAATCAACTATTTTGTATAAATTTAAAGAGAAAAAATTCCAATGAATTTAAATCCATTTTGAAATATAGAAAAGTATTTTGCCTACTAGAAATATTAAATTTAGCTTGAAATTAAAACTAAAATATAAGCTTCAAGAAAAATCTTTTGTTTTTAAAAATTTATTTTAAACCTTAGGTATCACTTTTTCTGGCAGTCCATATGTTAAATGCTAAGATAGGTTGTATTTCTGCTTGAGTAATTTTTGCATTAACTAATTCTTTCTTTCTTTTTATGTGCCATGTTCTTTTAGGATGTAGGCGACCATGGCTCTCCACTTCTTCCTATCCCTTGTAGCTCATAATAAGTTTTATCCCTCTGCCACCTCCCCCAGACCATGTTCTGTCGTCCACTTGCTTAATCATAGTTACCAAATGTTTATATTGGAGAATTTAAAAATCAACATTCTGGAGTTAAACAGGACCCCCTCCAGTTGTACAAAATCTGCCTTGAATTGTAAAATAAAAACTGTAATAAAACTTGGTAACTTAACAGAAGTCCTGAAAGTTTCATTAAAATCTGACTTGATTTTTGCAAGAATTTTCAAATCAGGGTTTTTCCCTATAGAAAAGATGCTAAAATTTCTAGACCAGTAAATGAAATTAAAAACAAAGCATTTACTTAAATAAATTCTATCTATAAAAATAACATATCAACAGAAAATATATTAAATAACTGTCGGACTTAATCTATTTCATTAGATATATATATTCATTTTCTAACAGAAGTGTTTTTCCTTTTCAGAAGGATAAGTTTCACCCATTTTCAAATAGTTCTGTTATACACTATTTTAGATGTTGGTGTGAAGCTGATTATATGGATAGAACCAATTTACACCTGGTACAAGAACTAACCATCATGTTTTTGCCTATATAAAACAGTGGGGAATTGAATAGTTTCAGACGAGTGATGTAATTGGCATTGCATTCTGCCATTGGTCAGCATTTGGTTGATAATCCTGCATGTTCTGGTGAATATCAAGAAAATTGGTTTGACATTTTATATAAGGTACTGTCTCGATATTTGCTCAAGATTGTTGAAGCAGATAAAATCAAACTCAGGAGATCTATTCTTAGCCTGCAAACAAAGAATTTCAGTTTGTATACTTCTTTTGGGAGAAAGCTAACCATTTTTTCCTCTCCTCATCCATTTGCAGTACTTTGTTTGTTTGTTAATTTTATTCATTTTTAATTTTACAAAATGAATTGATTTTCTAAATGTGATTGGAAATGATTTTATATTTTAATTATGCACCAGTTTTTTCTGCCCATTTAATCCACTAAAAGTGCATTTCATTGTTCTTGTTGAGAAAAAAAAATTGTTTTTGCCAACAATTGATCTCTGATGAAGGGTTAGTGGAGAGCTTCCTTAGATATTTGTTTCCCCCTTTTTTAATATTAAGATGCTTACATCAGTGCTATTTAAGGCCTTAATAAAATTTTATAGTATCAGGTCATTGTTTAAATATTTAATGTTTCATAAAACACCGCTTACATAGGTAAAGTTGGTCACATGATGTAGTGTTGCTGGCAGTTGAAATTAACAAGGACTACTCTGTGGTCAAGTGTCAGTGGCCATAGGCCATCTTGAGCAAGGAACAGTTAGGTAGGTCACTCATTATTTCCCTCTGTCCCTTCAATATGTCCTATAAGTGTTAAATTCTCCAAGTCTCCTTTTCTCAGTATGTGTCCTTGAAATTTCAACTGCTTATTTCTGATTTTAAGTATTAGTATTTTTTAGTTTCGATTTCCTTTAAGACTTCCCCAGTGCTTACTTTTTCTAGATCTGCCATGGAACTTATTAAAGATGATGCATCTTCCAACCTTGTGGCATGGCTTGTTAACGCCTTTTTAATAGCCATACAAGATATGGGCTTTCTTTATCCAAGCCTCGACTTAAAGGTCATTATCACTGATAAGTCAAAAATAAACAGGGAAAAGGCGAGAGCAAAAGTAACCACCCATCGGAAGAATGTTCAGAACCCTGAAAATATCATCTGCATTGGTGTTAATTGCAGAGTTGATAAGAACACTTTGCAATACAAAGAGGTTAAAGAGGAAAACAGAAAAAAAAAATTAAGAAAATGAAAGGACCAGAGCACCACTTGACTTTCACTAGAGATGGACACGGAAAGTCAATATCTCACCCAGAGAGTTATCCCTAATATTAGTGCAATTGATGTTGTTCTAGCAGAGGATGTTGCTGCTGTTTTAACAGTGTAAATTCCATTAAGACCGTTCTTGTGGACAATACAAATACTGTTTGTGAGGCAGGGCTTGTTACAGCTCTGGAAAAAAATACTTAAAAGAAAGTTGCACACCATTAGCTGTTTGCTTCATCAAAATGAACTTCCATTTAGAGCTGTTTTTAAATACATTGATGGAACTAAAAGAAACCTAACTGCTTTTACTGGTTCTCTAGGGAAACTTTGTGGAAATGATTACCAGAATTTGCCCCAGGTAGAATCTAACACTATCAATGGCTCTCTAGATAATGTATCTTTCTGCAGTGGCAATGGAAGATTTAAGCAGTGACTAAAGACTGCTTTTAGAATATGCTGCAGGAATTTATCAAGGGAAAGTGAACCCCAGATTGGCTGCTTGCAAAATTGGGTCTCTAAATCAAGTAAAATGGTTAACTTGAGCCATCACGTTAAAGTGTTTATAGACCAGAGGTGCCTAGCCACCAGAACTCTATGATAAATTGTATAGCCTTATAAAATTTATAATTGAAATATATGCCATTAATTGCATATATTTCAAATAATAAATTCCCAAACTAACTGTAGAATATTGGTTAGCTTGCAAGTGGTCTGACACACAAGTAGACAGGTGAAGCCGCTACAAGTTGAATCCCACCCTGAGTCATTTCATAGAGAGATATATGGGTGAATAGAGTCCACTCATGCAAATGTGTTGGGCAGGTCCATTCTAGCAAAGTGGACTAACCCAACTTCTGCATATAAATGAGGTAGATTAGCTGGCTTGCCTTTACAAGGAGATACAAGAAGGCAGCCATGTTAGCAGGTAAGT